GTGAATATATTGTTAAATCAAAAATAGATTTAATGAAAAACAAACAATATTGCAGTTATTCCTGATACATTACAAGTAAGCTACAATCATTAAATGTAGCCATCAATAAATGTTAAAGCAAAGTTTCGTCATTACTATAATGAATGAATTAATACCTGCTGAAAGAATTAAAAGTTCTTTTTATGTTACTGTTGAATGTAAAAAAATCATGGGCTGATGTGAATGTTTTTTTCTAATTCAAAGTTCATTTAAATGTTGCGGAATTTCTGTTGCTAAAGGATAATTTGATGTTCGATTATGATAGTTTACTTCAGTGACGTTTTCACGTGGGTAAACATATCACGTGATTTGTAAAATTAATAAATTATCTCGATTTTTCTAACCCTCCACTTGAACGTGAAATGAATTCCCGACCATTGCCACCGCCCGCACTTTCAATTAATAATAAGGACATTCAGTTTCTTGAACAGGTATTGTTAAACAAAAACACATACTTCCTGTTATTAATGATTTACTTAAACACGAACCTTACAGGAAACGACTACACTTCTTGTAAAAAACTTACCCAATTTATGCGAATCAGACCTACTTGATTTCCTAAAGCATTTTGGTCCACAGGAAATTCGTCTTGGAACTTCAAATCCGTTGGTATGATTATGGATTGATTCTGTAAAATAAAATTAAATATGAATTAAATATTGCGCATTCATTGACAACAGCTCTAATTTAATGATAGAAAAATTCGGCATTCTTGGATTATCCAGATCGTTTATCAGCAGCGAACGCATTTTCTAAGATACAAGAATTAGGAGATGTAGTAGGAAAAAAAGTTCGTGTAGAATATGCATTGCCAAGTAAAGAGGCTTTGCAAAAAAAGGGTAATTCTAAAGTCGCAGGAAATTCTAGTGATAATACTAATGAAAATAGGCAGGATGATTCTGGATCATTTCAAACACTTCCGCCACCCCCTCCGTTTCCGCCGCCACCAAGTTTCATTGCTGAACCAATTGCACCTTCATTAGGGTAACAGTTATATTATTATCGTCCATTATAAAAGCTATTACTTTAATTTTATTATTTATTGTTTATAGGATTAATTATCCAGCACCTCCTTCACTTCATTATCGTTATCCCCCTCCAACTGTAGAAATTTTATATAATATCATGAATGCTATTGCGGCTGTGCCTAAATTATATACTCAAGTTTTGCATCTAATGAATAAAATGAATTTACCACCACCATTTGGACCTATATTACCAGAATCAATACCAGCCTTAGTAATTATTATTTATAAAAAAAAATAATTATCCATTTACATATTTTTAAAGAAATCTATTGACGACTATATTTCAATTGGAAAATTTCTCCGACATAATAGCTTCAAACTGATACCGAAGGAAGTCTTAACAAGAAACGCAAG